GCTTCCATCATCAGAGACGACATCGAGGAGATGGGGGTGTGTTTTCTCCACGCCCTCTCGCCACATGACGCTTCATCGACGGACTCACCTTCAAATCCACGCATCACCGAACTTCTCGACGCCTACAGCGACGTGTTCGAAGGCCCGCACGGAGTAGTACCGGATCGGCCCATCCGCCACGAGATCGTCCTCGAGGACGGGGCCGTACCTCCGCGCGGCTGCATCTACCGAATGAGCGAGGAAGAGTTAAGTGTGCTCCGTGCACAACTCGACGATCTTCTAGAGAAAGGTTGGATTCGGCCTAGCTCATCGCCATACGGTGCGCCTCTCCTCTTCGTCCGGAAGAAGAACAAGGACCTGCGGTTGTGCATCGATTATTGCAAGCTCAACACGCAGATGATCAGGAACGCCGGCCCTCTCCCACGCATCGACGACCTTCTCGAGCGATTGGGCGGCGCCCAGTTCTTCTCTAAGCTGGATCTCAAGTCAGGGTACCACCAACTCGAGATTCACGAGGAGGATCGCTACAAGACCGCGTTTAAGACACGGTATGGGCATTTCGAATGGCTGGTCATGCCGTTTGGCCTTACGAATGCCCCAGCCACTTTCCAAGCTGCTATGACAACGGAGTTCCGACACATGCTGGATCGGTTTGTACTCATCTTCCTCGACGACATCTTGGTGTATARTCGGAGTTTGGACGAGCATGTGGAACACCTGCGCACCGTTTTGGAGCGGCTACGACAAGCCAAGTACAAAGCAAACCGCGACAAGTGCGAGTTCGCACAGCAGGAGCTGGAATACTTGGGACACTATGTGATGCCGCAAGGCATCCGTCCGCTTGCGGACAAGATCGRGGCCCTACGAGTATGGCCCGAGCCCACCAACACCACGGACGTTCGTTCATTCATGGGATTGGCGGGCTACTATCAGCGATTCATCACCGGATACTCCAGAATTGTTGCACCTATGACGACGTTACAGTCGCCAAAGGTGCCATTCGTATTCGATGATGCCGCACGTCGGTCATTCCAAGAACTTATGCTCATGGCACCCGTCCTTAGCATCTATGGCCCCACCCTGACGACGCGAGTGACTACGGGCGCTTCCGGCTATGGCATTGGGGCAGTCTTGGAGCAACATGACGGCGATGACTGGCACCCTGTGGAGTATTTCAGCCACAAAGTGCCTCCCATCAACTCGCTTGATGATGCAAGGAAGAAGAAGCTGCTCGCATTCGTCATGGCTCTCAAGCGCTGGCGGCACTTTCTCCTTGGGCGTCGTAGGTTCACATGGGTCACGGACAACAATCCATTGACTTACTACAAGACGCAGGATACGGTGAGCAGCACGATCGGACGATGGATGTACTTCATCGACCAATTTGACTTCATACCGAAACATCTGCCCGGCCTCTCAAATCGCGCAGCAGATGCACTCTCGCGAAGACCCGATCTTTGCGCTATGACACATCATGCCTTCGCTTTCGACGAGGAGCTTCAGCGACACTTCATCCGGGCATATCAGTCTGATCCGGATTTCGGCACGCTCTATGCACAGCTATCTTCGAATCACCCGCCGGCCAGCCATTATCGCATTGTCGACGGGTACTTGCTCCTCCACTCGAGAGGCAAGGACTTACTATGTGTCCCATGCGACCGTCGTCTTCGGACTCGCCTCATTGGCGAGTATCATGATTCACGACTCGCCGGCCATTTCGGAGTCAACCGCACTATTGCACGGCTTCGACAGCGATTCCGATGGCCCGACCTCATTACCGATGTCACTCGGTATTGCGACTCTTGCGAAGTTTGCCGATGCAGCAAGCCCCGCAACCGCAATCCCTACGGCGAGTTACACCCGATGCCTATCCCATGGGAACCCGGTCTCTCCATTGCCATGGACGTCACCGGTCCGTTTCCTCGCGACCGGCTCGGGCACGACGACATCCTCACGGTTGTGGACCGATTGAGTAAGTACGCGCGTTTTCTCCCTTGCAAGTACTACTCCACGACTCCCGAGATGGCACGCCTCCTGCACACTGGTTGGATTTGTGGCCACGGTGTACCAGAAGACATTGTCAGCGACCGCGACACTTGTTTCATGTCGGCGTTTTGGACTGCTCTCATGCAGGAGTCCGACACAACAATGAAACCAAGTTCGGCTCGACATCCTCAGACAGACGGGCAAACGGAGCGGGCACATTTAACCGCTCAAATGATGCTTTGTACGCTCATTCGTCCGGACCAGAAAGATTGGGTTGACCGCCTCCCCGATATCGAGTTCGCCTACAACACTTGAGTGCACCCGGCGATTGGCGTGACTCCATTCGAGTTGCACCACGGTGGACGGAAAGGCCGCATCTTCGCCGACCTTCTCCTCCCTCGAGCAGCCGACATTGACGCCGCTTGCTCCCCCGCTTCCGTTCGGAAGTACAAGGACTTGCTGACTCAAGCCCGCGCAAATATGCAAAAGGCTCAAGTTCGCATGCA